AGACACTTCTGGCAACATTCCAGGACTCCCGAGACCCCCAAGCTGGTCTCGGAGGCTCAGCATCTCAGAACTGAGATCTTGAGATCCGACAGGACCACAGTGACGGACAGACTTTGAGCACACATATAAAGCAGGCTTCACACTTAATATTCATGTGTCTAACACACAGATAAACCATCTTGGGAGTGTCGGTAGGTTAGGCAAAAAAGAATTAAGTTGAGATCTCTAAAAGGAGGGCTTTTAAATCATTATTGAGATAACTAAATAATATGATGTACTATAGATCCCAGTTTACTGAGAGAAACGTGGCTGATCAGTATACCTGAATGTGTCAGGTCATATCTACCGCAGTCTGACAGAGACAGCTAACTTAAGTCTCATAAGTGTTCTCTTCTTCCAGGACCTGATCAATTTGTGGTCTCGCTGCTGCAACTAACAATTATTGCCACTTATACTTGAGTGTTTTTTCCGATGTAGTCACTTGTATATGGACTTAAACCTATTGCAAATTAATTCCTTGCAGGCCATAAAACTGTCATCACAAGGAAATGCATTTGATTACTATGGACCACATCAGAAATAACAACCTACTGTTACAACCTTACTAATTCTCAAGTATTCAATGGCCTCACCCCATCTCCAACTGTATTATATAACTGTATTATATGTGCTGTATTATAAAAACCCAAACATTAAATTAGATAAACAAATATAGTTCTGTCTTTGTATTTTAAAAAAATATATTATGGGACGGATGATACAGTGTTCATATTTTTTTCAATGATAGAGTCATGGGACCCAAATCTCATAAGCAGTTTAGGGGCATTTCAAAGGAGACAACAGGGGTCGCAGCGAGGCAATGAAACACAACAGTGGATGGATTTCAAGGCATGACTGCTGACACATCTGCATGGATGTTGTTCTGCTAGCTAGCATATGAACCTTTCAATCAGCAGAAATGAAATGCACTACAGAAGTGGACAAAGAATAATTCTTCTCTCCAAGTGCCAGAAGGAAAGGAGCACACTGGATAGGTGCTTTGATTCCAAAGTGATCAAAGCACTGGTGTGCTGGTGTGTCCCAAGTGTCAGAATGCGTAGGTTGCTAACTGTGGTATTGGGAAAAACAGTGAGCATGTTGTATTTGATTAATCTGCTAAAACAGCCAAATCCTAAGCAGACAGGACAGACTACGATAGACTAAACTTGCCAAGATTTTGATAGTTAAGAGTACAAGGGAAAACAAAAAATTTTCTGTCACTTTGAAGACTGGCTCACTAGAATGACTTCTCATGGTGGTGTATAGCACAGGCTATATGTAGAGAACAGAGATTTAGGCAGGTTGAAAAGGAGGCAGCTATAGCAGTGTACCAGGTGCAGTCTCTGTGAGGACGGATGCGTGCAGGACAAAGTGGGTTCTAGACACCTCTGGCTCCTGACCCACCACAGGTCACAGCTACGCCCCACAGCTCTGCTGGCAGCCCCTCTGTGAAAATGAATTTAAGAATGAGAAAAACCCATCACACAGGAAGAGAAGGAGGGAACAAAAATACTGAATATCTAAGTCAAAAAGAAGTGAAGCAGAAACACTTCAGGCACTGGATTAGGTATTTCCTCATAGCACAGAGAGAGGGCTGTGTTGGGGCATATCCACACCATATTCCATGAAGGATCCCCTTCCAGAGGAGGTCGAGGAAATCCTTCAGAATAGTTCCCGAAGGAATTAATATCCATGGAGAGCCCATGCCGAAACAGATATTCTTGAAAGATGGCAGCCCACATGGAGAGCCCACAGTGATGCAGGGAAACAGCATGAGGAGGTTGGAGCTGCAGAGAGGAGTGGGTGTGGACTGACTGCAAACGCCTGTGCCTCACAACATGAGCAGAGCAGTCACAAGTGAAGCTGAGATTAAAAGGCAGGGTAATGCTAATTTTGAAATTGTTTCTACCTCTCCAAATCTACTTCAAAAAATAAATTAAAATAGTTTTCCCAGGTCAGCTGTTCTACCTGTGATGATAACTACTATGCAATGTCTCTATCTAGATCTCAATCCTGTTTTGTCTCCCTGCCCTCTAGAGGAGGACTGAGAGACCATCTGGGTGGGCATCTGGCTTGTTGGCCAAGGCTAATCCAAAAAAGCAATACAAACTGAAAAGCAATACAAGGGGAAGCTGAAGATTTCAGCAGAGATAGTGTAAAATTATTTCTTCCTCTGATGGGATTACAGGATCACAGAATATTCTGAGCTGGAAGGGACCCACAAAGATCATGAAGTCCACTTTTAAATCACTGGCCCATACAAGGATTGCACCCACAACAGTGGAATTATTACCATAACTAATAGATGATTAACTACACATTAAAGAATCTAGTAATGGAAATGAAGAGATTTAATATCTCTTACCTGTTTATACAACCAGAATATTAAGAAATCAAGAGGAAATTAATAATGGAACACAGTTTATCAGCAAGCATAACAAGGATTTATTTTACAACAAAAAATAACCTCAACGTTTTGAGAGGAAAGTGTTTCAAGAAATAACTTATTTTTCATACATAAAAAAAGGACTGCCCATGGGTTTTAAAATAAGACATGTTCTTAATAAGACACGTTCTTATTTTTCGTTTTATTAGAAGACATTTTAAGAAAACTTTCTATGTTTGAACTTCAAGTAGATGGAATTTCCTTTCATCACTCTTTCAGTAAAATTTTATTTATTTCTGTTATCATTTTGCTATTACCTTCTGGTCATCTTCAGTATTTGAGAATAAAACTGAACCAAACCATAATCCTCTTGAGGTCTCTGTTTGTCCTTGGCATATTATGTTTTGATTTTTTTTGTTAAAACATTCACTTTGCATTTAGGTATTTGTCCATAATATTTAGATGGTATAAGATGAAGAAAGATCTCTTATATTATCAGGAACTTTTGTGGAAATAATTCAGCTCCAGGCATAGGATAAAGATAGCTATGTGACAAGACTCAGGGTAAGACAAAAAATAACCTTCTAAAGAACATCTTGTAATTTATGAAGGACAGGAAACTAATTGCTAAAAATATTTTCTTTCTTAGCATATCCAGTGCTCAAGTTCTTCAATGGTTATGCTTCATAAATATTCACGAAGATTAAAAAGATAGCTCCACAATGGTCTTGAAAGAATCACTCTGGGCACAAGCATGCCCAGGCACTTTTTGACAAAGTCAAATGTATGATACTAGATGTTTCATCCACTCATAGTGCAGGGCAGAAAGTGGTGTAAATTATCTCTGGTCCAGGGGCATATTAGAAGCACACACAGAGATTATTTCCCTTGGCTCTGATTTGTCCTGCTTTTGTTTGCAGAATGTTACACCCCTATATACCCAAAGGCAGATGATCTAGTACGCACATTGTTGACTTCTGGAATTCTTGAAGGGATAGAATATGGAGAGGAATGAGGCTACTTTAATGGATCAGAATACACTGTCTTATCCTGAGTCTAACTAAGATTACTAAGGATGTCTGAAAAATCCCTCTGAGATCTATAGGTAAAAATTTAGCATTATGAATTAATAATACAGATCCTGAAGTGATACAGTGGAATTTTGTGGATATTTGCTGATGAATACATCAACACAGAAATATCAAAACCTTCAATTTCAAACTCCTGTAAGTAAAGCTGCAGTTACTAGTAGTACTTCAGTTGATTCTGAACTTTACCCATTTTCTTTTGATGTCTTTCTTAAAACAAAAGTAAATCCCAGAATTTCTAGTGGAGAAAGAAAGGCTTATGGTTCTTTTACTAGTACATAATCCATTTCTTATGTTCTGATTTTTTACTGGGTGAGAAACCCTTTAAGAACAACAGTGTAAACTTTATCATTTACACTTCAGCCATGTTCACTAATGCTAGGTAATTAGTTACCATTATGATGTAGGGTTTACATTTCAGATACTTCCCAAAAAAAATCAATAATTTCCCTTTGTTATTCTAGGAGAAATAGTATGTCAAATTTTGAATTATTCACAATCAATTTTTTTAGTTCCTGCTGAAAGGAGCATCCTGACATTTCTAATTCTTATGTTTTCTTATTCTTTAGGTTGACAAACCAGAAAGGATAAATTAGTTTGCTACTCACTAACGTGCTACAAGGGCTTAACAACTATGTACATCAAGAATTAAGAAACAATATGGTAACTAAAATTTTCAGAAGAAAGCTGGCTGTTTCTTTCTCAAGCAAATCACTGCATCAGGTTAATCAGTACTAAGCATGTGGCCTTTTTATAGCCTTTCCCCAAACACTTCAATCCTTGTGGACATAATGGCATTGCTTTCAAAACCAAAACGTAACCTTGCAATCCAGGACAATAAATTCTGAATGCCAAGGACATGTATCTCTTACTGCAAAACACAACACCTTCTGCATGACATGAGTTTTTATGCTTCAAGGAAGCCAGTATGAAAAAGGTGGGGGCAAAAAGCAAGATAGTTTCTACCAGCAAAGTTTGCTGCAGCTAAACCACACAGTTTTAGGTTCTGTCACTTTCTTGAACATTAAAGGAAAGAAAGACTTGAAAAAAGTATCTGAAAATTAAATTAGTTTGGGTGAACACAGAAACTAAAATGAAGAATAGATTCCCATGTTGCTGTGAATTCAAGATGTGATAAGGGAAATTAACACTCCAAGGTAATATAAACACTTATTTTGCTTTGTTTTGCTCTAGACTAAAAACAGTTCTAAAACAATCAACAACTAGAGCTACAGTTAAAACAGTCCTTTTGCCTAAATAATTAATATACAAGCTTTGTTGGACTTTTAAATAATGCTATACCACAGCAAAACTGTGCAAGTCAAAGAGAATATTAAAGATTACTACTCAATTTAAAAAATGCCCTAAAAATATCATGAAAGTTTCTGACTACAGGTTACATCTTACTGTCTTTCCTTATGTTTTATCATGTATCAAAGACTAAAGTAGCATGCACAAAGCCATATGGTTTTATGACCAACATGCATGTGACATCACCAAATGACCTCTGGCTTACACAGCATGGACTTAGCTCCATAGAAATTGTTAGCTGTTTGGATAGTCAACTATCTTCACTTGGTAACTAGAAATAGTGGTCTCAGCTATTAAGGGAAGAAAAGTGGATTTTTGTAGTTAAGTTTTGTAGTAAGAAATAAGAAGTTCGTGTACTATAAAATTGTATTTTACTTCACTAAAAATGAACAGCTTTTTAGGATAAAAGAAGTTGAAGGTGGAAATAAACTCTAAGAAAAGGAAGCCACCTTACAACTTCTCTCCTTTCCTGAGCAAAAGCAGTGGTAAAGCTTTGATATATTTAGAAATACAAATCAGAGGAATAATTTTAAATTCTTACCTTATGAAGAGTGTCTTCTACAGCTTTCATATGACTAATGATCAATTCTCTATCTCTATTACAAGACAAAAAACAAGAGGTAGATCATAGAACTGAAACTCATCTGATTTAGAAATTAATTTTCTGCTACTTTTTAACTATCACGTCTTTTCAAATAATTGTTGATCACTCAAAGTATTATGTTTTTGTCTCTCCTTTTTATATCCCCAATGCAAACCTTAAACACTAGTTCATGTACCACTATTTGGAATATTTCCATATGAAATTTGTTTCTGTTGTGGACTATCAAAGTAGCTGCTGTTATGGACATATTCATTAACAAATATCATTTTCTTGAAGAGTTTTAGATGTAAAAGGCATGTTGAGTGGAGTTATCTAGCAGGAAGAGAATACATTCTCTTACATTTCTAAAAGTCCAGCCAAATATCCTATCTTTACAATAGGGAGGTTTGGAGAATGAAACAATTCTCTAATGCCCTTTTGTAGATTAGGACTTCAGTAAGAAAGACAGCTCTCATCAGCTATGCTGTCATGAAAAACCTTGGCCTCAACTCATGATTGACAGAAATAGAACTGAAGTTGCATAATATCATATGACTTAAGAGAAAAGAGAGCATGACCATAGGAAGTCAAATAGAATCCATGCCAGAAAAGCTAATACACTTTAATATTCCACAACTGTCTCTCATTTTGCCAGCTATGTGCATATTTTGTTTGAGCTTTTACAATACCAGAATCCATAGAATCAGTATGATGTAGGTTGGAAAACACCCTTAAGGTCACTGAGTCCAACCCTTACCTCAGCACTGCCCGGCCCACCACTAAATGAAGTCTGCAAGGGCCACAACTTTTAAATACCTCCAGACTCTACAACTTCCTTGGGCAGCCTGTTCCAATGCTTGGCAACCTTTCAGGAGAGGATCTTTTCTGAATATCCAACATAAACCTCTCTTGGCACAACCTGAGGCCATTTCCTCTTGTCCTATCGCTTGTTACTTGGGAGAACAGCCCAAGCCCCACGTCACTACAACCTCCTTTCAGGTACTTCCCTCAGCCTCTTTTTCTCCAGTCAAAATCATGGCATTGTTCCCCATGGAATGGTGGGTGCTTTCTCATTTCTTGATTCATACTGTCTTAACAGAAAATACAGGAAAGTGGCCAGAAGAGTAAAAGTGGCTTTTACATTCCTAATAAAGTCACATAGACTTTTCTATTTTCAGGATCCTACCTTTCTTTGGACTAGATTGACAGGGTACTTGGTTGCTGGCTGGGGCTAAACCACAACAGAGAGAAATTACCAAAAGACTACTGTATTTTTGTCCTTTTTTTACTGTTTCAGACACTTTTATTACTATTGCTTCTTACTCAGGAGGAAAGTGGAAAGAACTGCTAGCCACCACTTAAAGAAAATCAAGTCAGCCATTCTCAGAACAAGCTAGACATCTTGCTGTCTTTTACAGCACTACAAAAATTTAGGAAAGAAACTGAAAGACACTCATGCATTGCCTACAATCACTTAGGTCATGGAATTGATATTAAAATCAGAGTTTCCAGATAAGACCAAAGTCAGTTTAGCTACTTTGCTTACATGTTCCAAAGGAAGAAAAAGACACTTGCACTTTTTATGAAGAACAAGTAGAACAGTTTATGTTAGAACATAACATAGAGTTCTTATGGTAGAACAATGATGGTTGGAAGTTTTCACATCAAAAAAACCTTTTCTGAATGTAAGAATGGCCATAGGGACTCCTTAGTGGAGTGCATATGCACTCCTTAGTGGAGTGCATAAAACAGATTGGGGCAGGGTGAAAAGGAGAAGGCTTTTAAGAACAAATCCTTCTTTGGGCCATAATCTGCTTTGATACACTTACACTAAATAATATTTGTCATTTTAATTAGCTTGTTAAACATATCACTGATAACTATATTAATTACATTATTTTGCTGGTGCATAAGCCCCTTAAAGCTTCTAAGCTATTCTTCTTCAGAGGTCAAATCTACCCCACGTATAATGAGAAATTTTAATTTTAAATTGATTTTTTTTAAAATCTTGGCCATGGACCAATAATATTCAAAGTGCATACTACTGTAACAGGAATAGATAACAAAGTCTGAAAGGATTTATAATTTTATCTGACTACATAACTCTAAGAGGTTATTAATAATCTCATTCAAGTCAATGGAACAGCTTTTGACTACCAATACTTTCAGAAATGGTCCCTGAACATTTCCTTCCACTCTTCAAGTTATAGTATAAAAAGGCATGGGGCTTACATCTAAATCCAAAGCTCTCTGAAATCAGAAGAAATATCTATACTATTCCACAGATAAGCCTCTGTCCAAAATGGGTTTCAGCCCCTTTAGAACAAACAATCGTTCCTTAAACAAACAGAATGTGAAGGATCTATCGAAGAGATGTTGTCAAATCAGTAAGGCAATTGGCAGACAAAATGCTTATGCATTTTGGACCAATAATTTGTAGCACTATTATGGGATAACTACAGAAAACATAACATGCAGTATCTTGAACAGTTTTCTTTTTCGAAGTCTATCACTGAATTTCAAAGAGAGACAGATGTACTTTTGTTTTCTAGCATTACATTAGCTAAGGCTAAAACCCTGTGCATGAAAGTGAGAATTGATCTTTTGTCTGTTTTAAGTGATCTCCCCAAGGTCCCAGGGCTCACTTGGCTGCCGTGCAGAGGGCACTCTCTGCATCGCGGATGCTCTCGCTCAGTCGACGCTTGTCCTGCTCCAGCTGGGTAAGAAGTCTATTTTGCTGACGCAGAAATCGATCTCTTCTTCTCAGCTCCATCGTTGCCTCGGAGAGACTCTGCAAGCAGACAGAAAACAGAGTTACTTGTCAGCCCAAATAATTAACTTCAGTTTATGCCATAGGCTATTAAACAAAGTGGAAAACAGACTACACTGTGTAGTAGATTTGGACCATTGCATACTAAGGTTTTATGAATTCTCTACCAAAATATTACCAACTTAGAAACCTCCAGTTTTTAGTATATTGACTGTGTACAAATATATTTATAAAATAAAATTATTTTTTGATCAAGCAGGGACATACACTATGCTACAAGTACTAAATTTACAAATTTTAGATCAAAAAACAAAGGAAGTATCAAGAGTACAGTTTTAAAGAACACAAAATATTCACAAAACTTAATTTAAAATAAATATTAAATAAAGGAATTCACAATGAAAGGGAATAAACACAGAAACATTTACTTAAAAATTTCACACAGTTCAGAAATTTCACTAGAATAGATAATCTCATATTCTCTGTTAGCGCATCAAGTACAATCTATTTTATGGTGCTTTCACTATTATAATATTAGTTTCCCAATATGCAAAATAGTATATATATTTTCTAAACATTTCTCTCTGGCATAGAATTAACAAAACATGCTTTAATCAATTCAGATTAATCCAATAGGTGAAAAATACCACACAGGACTAATTAATATAGAATCTGGCTGGTTTCTAGTCCTTTCTGCTGGGATAAATCAATACATTTATAGACTGGAGTATTAATAATTTGATTTCATAATTTGTTACATGTTACATTTCACTTATAGCTGTTAATTGCCTTTTTAGAAAGAAATTATAATCAGTGGTTATAAGCATACTTTTACACATAGCATATTTCCTGATAGATCCTAAAATACAGAAGAGAAGGCTGCACAGTTGCAAGACAGAGCTCTTACACACCTTTTTTTCAAAATTTATGGGTATATTTTCTGCTTGAATTCCAAAAATGCTGTGCATAATTTGTACTCAGTACATGTCCTGAGTATTGTGGAACATGGAGATCTACTATGCTGTGGATGAGTGCGAAGAACAGTATATATAAAATGCTGATAAAAATTTGGAGGGTGCTGAAAACTCAACTAACCTGAACCTCTTTAAGGGTCAGAGGCATTTCAAAAAGCATTATGATAGAGAAATTTTCTATAAAATAACAATCCACAGCAAAGGACTGCATAGTCCTGTAAAATAAACTGTCATCTCTGGACTGGCATAAGTCTTCTTCTTACATTCCTAAAGAGAAAAGGCAACCAGTACTTCAACAGTGGTGTATTTTGAAGGTTCAGCACCATCACTTGAAGACTTGTAAAGGAATTTACAAAATCTAAGCTGAAATTAATCACAACTGTAAGAAAAAAACTGAAGTTTATTTAAGAAACTCTAAACCTAGAAATGTTAATATTATTCTTGTTCAAATGACTGCAGGTTGAATAATTCTATTTTGACTCTTATGTCTTTATTTTCAATAAACAACTGATATATTTCCCTAAGGAAAGTTAAACACACAGATAGCATTCATCTAGTGCACAAGGATATTCAAAACCAGAAGCCTTGTTTTCAGAAATTCTACCCTTAAGCCACTGGCAGCTAATCAAATCCCTGTCTAAACAGATGACTTTGTGAATTATCAGATTTTCAGAAATTTTATTTCCAAGAACAGAAATGTGGATTAGCATGGATAAAAGGATCCATCTCTGGTTCAAAAACAAAGAGCATTATCTTCTTCCAATTATTTTGTTTACTGTTTGCTTTCAACATTGAGGAAAGAGTTCTGAAAACCAAGTCAAGTAACCCCCTGCCCATATTCCCACCTTTCAAAAATGGACTATATTTGAACACAGAACAAGGTCTCTATACACACAACAAGGTCTCTATTACCAATGTTTGGTTCAACCGAGCTTCCCACCTGACTGAAAAATCTGGTTTTAAGAAGTTTCTGGTGGTATTTTGATGCAAGAAATTTTTGATGCAGATGCTGTTGAATGGATTTTGGTCCCAGCATCCTAGCAGTCATGGTAGAGAAAGACAGGATAATAGGAACATTCTGCATATTTATTTTATTTTTATTATAGCTATCCATCTGCAGGGGTAGAAGAGTTGTTCGCTCTGACATAAATCTTTCATTACTGACCATGAACAGTGAAAAGACCCACTCGTCAAAATCTTCTGTGAGCTGCTAACTAACCTAGGTTACTCATTGCAAGCACATGCCTATTAATGAGGCAATAGCAGGGTCTAACTTTTTTAAGGGGCATGGTCAGCAATCCATGCTAACTGGTGATGAAGCAATATAGAAATGGTTAAATCAAGTATCTCACTGAAGAGCTGCTCAAAGAGCTATTCAAAGAGAACCCCATTATTTACAGAAATCTCTAAAGGATTAATACTTTATCTAGTAACATTGCAATATCTAAACAAAATGGAAACTGATTTTAGCACTCCAAAAGCAGTTTCAGCAATTACTTGAAGCTTCTTGCTACTGTGGGTTAAAGTCAAGCCTTGGAAATGTTCAAATACAGTGTGGTGTATTATAAAATAATGGCTGGTAAGCCTCTTTTTTTGCTTCTTCAGATTGATCTAATTAAAACCCTTGATAAACTTTATGGACTCTAATATTTCCAGCTGAGTGACTGAAACCAAGAGGGTGTGCCTCAAGGCAGCAAGGCAACAATGATAAGCAGCAGGTTAGCCACTAATTTCTCAGCTAGGGTAGATTGTGAAAGTGTGATGTTCTGATATCCAAGAAAGTGTTCAGGAGAGAATAGGATAAATCAAGTTTAATAACTCTGCTCCTAATTGTTCCCTCAATGCTCCACTCTAATTACTTGGAGAACTCTCCTGACTGTCACCTGATATTAAGTTGTTGGAGGCTGAGTGTGGAGCAGTGAGATAATCAATAAACATTTAGTGGGGAGAAGAATGAAGATCCCGTTAAGCAGTGGGAACCTGCAGCACCCAAAGCCCTTCTGCTCATGAGAAAACCTATGGGAGAGCCATAGTGATTGCAAAGCAATAATCCAAAGCACTGGTTTTAGGCTTTGAGGCCTTTAGGCAACAGTACATTTGAGAAAAAAAGGTTAACACGGTCATCCTAATTACAGCCCATTTTCACATTCTTCATATATAAGCAAAGACAAGCCAATTAGGTAGAAAGGAAGATAAGGGAAGTTTTATTTGTATACTAATTAAACCCCTGATGAAATTAAAGGAAAAACATACAGCTCTGTAATTGTGTCTGAGAAAGGTCACTTCAGGTTCAGTTATCAGAAAAGCACAGCCTTGAGATATTTCACTTAATCCACAATATAGCCCTTATTTTGCCCCCCAGGTCTTAGTATTTACAAAAAGAAGAAAATTTCAAAACCTGATAATGCATTTATCTTGAAATGTTTTCTGTGGACAATTACAACTGTTAGAAAGTTGAGGCTAACTGTGATAAGAAGAATGAAGGTTTTAAAAACCTACTATGTTTGCACACAGTTCTGTGAAGATGCTGAGCTTTCACTTTCAAGTACAAGCGATTCTGAACCAACTTAGAAGCTAAACTCCAATTTATTAACATTCTGTAAAATGCCATTTATCTGTCTTTCTCGGGTTTTTAGGCATTCGGGTGCTAATTCAGACGTCACTGCACTCCTTCCTCTCCAGTCTGCCAAATTCTCACAGATCAGTTGAGTTTTCATCAGAATCTTTAGAAGGAGTTTCCTTTAGAGACATTTAGATTTTTGACCTATTTTCCCTCACAAATTAAGCATGAAAAAACATTTGTTGGAGAGAACAGCAAGCAACTGATAGCACTGAAGAAAAATCTCATTGGCTGTCTGTTGGCTTGGTCCTTCCACAAGCTTCCTTTAACAAGTTTAGGTTTTGCAGTCAGGAAACTTTTTATTCAAAGCCCATTACAAAAAGAAATCAAAGTTTAATATTGTAATTCTTTACACATAAAAAGGACTCTATTCAAAAGATAACAGATGGACAATCACTTCAGATGAACAATGACAGTCATACAGTTTAAATTCATGCAAAGCATGTGTGACACATTTATACAGAGACTGTATTTTCCAAGATCAACTAAAGCTAGATCAAACTGCTTAGTAAATTAGATTTAAATTACACAGACACAACACAGCAGTACAAAATATGCAAATACACTGCAGTATGTGTATAATGAACTAATTTGTGAAATTGAAGATTTTCTCTTTCAGATGAAAATTTATATGCATATTCTCTATTTAGATGCAAAATATTACTTTTTAAAAATATATTCTGAAATCTGTCCTACACCCACAACTAATAAAATTTCACAATGAAAAGAAGTATAGAAAGTTTAGCCAGCATCCATTCCTTCACCAGTTTAAATATACTTCCCGTTATTATTGCTGGAAAATATAATGATCTCTGAGTGCCCCCCAGAAGTCTACACATAACCTAGAGCAGTTTCAAATGGCTCAAATCCAACAGGTACAACAAGCTACATTAATATTTAATGTTTGCCATATTTTTAGTGTTCACCACTGCAATGCAAATCAAATACATCAGCTCAAACTATACAGCTGAAATTCCATGGGATGTTTTTTGAAAAGAATCTTTATTTATCAAGAAGAAATAGAAATTATGCTTCTTCTAAGAAGCATTTAAATAAAATTTTATTTGAGAGTCATTCAACAGATGGGGAAGGGAAAATCCACAAATTTACATTTTGTAAGAGATTTTTCTTACAAAATTCACTTCAAATTTGAGGCACTCATGTCATGAAAGCAAATGACATTCATCACCTATGCACGTGTAGACAACAGTCCATTTATTGGAAACAGAAACATAGCCCTTAGACATCCAAGCAAGTTTAGGCACCTCAAACACCTCACCTGCAGTGATTCAGGCTAGATTACAGTGCCTCAAAGACTTTCAGCTACGTTTAATATCTCTTTGCTATAGTGCAAACATTTCTCAATAGAAAATCTATTCTGATCAACAAGAAAGCAATCTATTTTTCAACTGCATTAGCTCAAGATA